TTTGTATTATAGAGCATCTTAATGCTACTAAAGTATATATGTAGTAGTTATATACAGTTTAATTCATTTATTACCTGTTACCATTTTCTTTTCTCTATTTTTCAGGTACAAACCTGAAATCACATGTCTAACTTAAACGTATAAACCTTGAATGCTTTAGAGCACAGACTTAAGTTCCTATTTGCAATGAAATATACATATCCTAAAACATGCTCTATTCTAAAACTGTGGGGGGGAAATCCAAGGCAAAAATGTTGTTCTAGTTGTTTATCAAATTTGAAGACAATATCACAAAAATACTTTTTTAATACGAAAAAAAAAGACTAAACATAACCTGAAGCACTGCAACTGCATTCACTATCTAGACTTAAAGGTACCATTTGATTAAATCTTGGTATGCCTTGACATGACTGTAAAAAAAAAAAAAGACTTCAGTACATGGAAATATATAGGTCCCAAACACCATTGTTTCCTCATTCTCATGTAAATCCTGTGAGTGTAAAATCTTGGTACAAAAACAGGGCAATCAGAACTAAACAGACTGTTATACCACAACATTTCCTAGTGAGATTACAACAATCATATTTCCCCCTTATATTTAAAATTATTTAAGCTTTCACTAAACTAACTATAGCTGCGTTCCAAATGGGACACTATGTACCTATGCATTTACAAACTCAACAGCATAGTATGTATTTAATTTCATCCCAAAGTGAACATTAATGTTTTTTTACTAAGCAGAAATTTAAACTATTTCCCCTATGACGTTTGTTGGTTGACAAATTACTGAAATAAATGACCAAAGTACCAAATAATAAAACCTTATTCACCATCGGGAGGTGGCATAATTACTCTCGTAGGAGAATTTTGTATTCACAATAAAAACCTAACAATGTAATATACACAATAGTGCATAAGTATGCGATTTGGGATGCACCTTATGTATGTGGAGTGGCAGTGAGACTAAATCCTTTGTATTTACGTTGTTTTATACTTGTGGCTATACAACAGACTGGTTACTTTAAACAGACTAATTATTTTGAAGTGCATACATTCTTAAAACATTGTTTTGAATTGTAAAAGATGTGGTGTGGTGCAGCGCTTCATGTCTGGTGGTGTGTAATCGCTTTTAAAGAGCTATTCTTAGCCATCTGTTCATGGATGTCAAAACACAAAATGCAGGATATATAGATTAAGCATTTATTCAGTGCCACTCCGAAGAGGTATATGCTCTGTTTAAATAGGTCTTTTGTTAATATAACGTGCATGTTGTTAAACTTACCATATGTTTGTAATAAGTCAACAAGTACATGTAGATTGCTCAGGGTTCGCAAAATCTAGTAGCCCGAAGTCCCAGGGATATTGTTTTTTCAGTCAGCTATCAAAGTCTGGCAGGCTGTCAAGATCTATTATCTATCTAGATCTAGATAGACTTTGTTAGCTCGACTGAAAAAAAACAACACCCCCGGAACTTTGGGCTACCAGATTGAGAGCCCCTTATGCATATTACTCAGCTCCTACTGTGATTCATACTGTGATCACTTTACTTAACTATTCTGGCTTAAGTTGATTTTAATACATGTCCGTGTTGTCATACTTTTAGGCTTCAAAATACAAATACATCCTAGTCAATTGCTTTAAATAAGTACAATTATAATTCAGCCTGTATTTCATCCACAACACAACTCAGTAGATAAAGAGTTATCTCACTCACTCCTTCTAGCTAAAATAAAACTCTCCACCATTACAGTTAAAAAGATTTAAGGCACATACTCATTTTGTTTGCACATTAATTTTTAGAGTACGTTACGGTCTGTGTGTGAGAGAGAGCACAGATACTGATGAGCAGTGGAGCAATAAAGCAGAGCTCATTAATATTCAAGACCTTTCCAAACATGATCAAACCTAAGCTTTCATTCGAGGGCTAAGTTTTGACGTCATAAATTAGCATATTAAAATATTTCTGGAGAAATTTTAAACTTAGTACCCAAGCTATGAAGTACATATCAAATAATAGTTTAACTTAATAAATCATTAAACATTGTGGCAGCTTTAAAAATGATAATCTTGAGGTTTATCATGACAAACCAATGCAAGAAGTTCACAAAGCAAAGTCTACTCAAATTTGAAAGAGAAAAAAGAAACACAATGTGGGCACAGCTTCAGTCTGGCACATGTATTGTCTTGGTGCCAGGGGTTGAAGGGTCTAAACACACACACAGACATGCACGCGCACACACACAGGACACAAGCGCACTTGTTCTGCTTACAACAGCCTGACTCAAGACCCAAGCACATGCTCCAGCACGCCACCATAGCCCCAGTGTTTCAAATGCATCTCAGTGTGGTTTAAGTATGTGTGCAAGAAATGCCTGGAAATCTGATTTCCATTATTGGAATGGTAAAGCACGGCCATTGCCTAATTCCCTAATGGAAAACACAAGCGGAACCGGTCTAACTGGGGTTAAGTATTATTATTGTTTGATCCAATGACCTTTGACACACTCTTTTAAGAGAGTAATAGTATAAGCACTTTTAAAATAGTAGTTTTAAGGAATTGTTCGCCAAAAACATTTACTCACTATTTACTATCCCTCAAGCAGTAACAAACCTTTATGAGTTTTATTAGTTATACGTTAAGGAAGATATTTTGAAGACAGCTGAAAACCTTTAACCCTTGACTTACATAGTAGGACAAACAAATACTATGGAAGTCAATGGTTAAAGGTTTTCGACTTTCTTCAAAATATCTTCTTTAATGTTCAACAAAATAGTTAAACTACTTAGCATTTTTTGTAATGTTTATACCAAAAAAAGTAGAGAGATTCAATTATAATTGAAGAGACAACAAACAAATAACTTTGTTTACCGAACTGAAATACTGAACAAATAAAAGAGAAATAAATGTTATTAATATTCTATAAAATGAAAATATTTTATCACACATTTAGGACTGGGTCCAATTTATGACAAAAATTCCAACTTTTGTTTATTTAGGAACTTGCTCCTTGTGTGCAGTCAAACATAACCATTGTGTTTCCTGTGAAATTCAAGTAGTACTGTCTAATATTTTAAGTTTGAAAGATTTTTAGAAACTATACAGTTATTTAGAATTTTAAGGGCCCATTCGTGTTACTACATTATAGGTCTGGCCGATTTGGCCTAAAATTAAAATCTCAATTAATTGAACATTTTAACTCGATTACGAATATTGAACGTTTATTAAATTGATTTATTTTATGCTTTTGCTTTTAGTTCACTTACAAGTTGTGTACAGTAAATATGTTCAGCTATTACAAGTGGGAGATTTCTGGATTTAGGGTGGATTATTTGATAAATAATTGAAGTAAACAAACACACTACTATCACACATCTACTATCTATGATTGTTTGTTGAACATCAACGCTAAACAACTGATAATAAAACACGCATTGCCTAAATTGCGGCACCCACCCTCGTCACTGCTACCAAACCAATCAATCACAAAGTTTGCGCTACACGTTGTTGTGATGTGTAAGTAACGTTACATGTGCTATATACGATATAATAAGTAGAAATCATAATACAATAAGTATAATTCAGCCTTAACAGAGCGGGGTCATGTGACTCCACACATGGTATGAAAAGTATATGAAAAAATGACTTGGAAAAAATAGATTTATTATAGGTTCTGAATGTCGATTTCGATTACTTTTCGATTAATCGCCCAGCCTTACTACATTATACTTATATATTAGCTTTAATTAGGCCCACACGGAATCTGCGTATGCAGATTAGCGCATTGAGTCTATTTATGGTGTAAATGTGTGTAAAAGTATATATTTTGTTTTTAAATTTATTTCAGTAATATTATTGACTAATAAAATGTTCATATGATTTATTTTAAATACAATTTGTAAAGTAATATTTTCTGTCTTTTAGTAGATAAATAATAGGAGATACTTGCTTTGTTTACCAAATAAGTGGATCTGATTGATTTGCATAGTAAACATTAAATAAAAGTTACAAAGTTATTGTTTTTATTTCATATATTAAGTTTTTAGTTACGATATTCCCAAAATAATTCTGCGTAAATCAGCAGATTTTTACAAAATTCTCCACAGAAACAGTAAAAAATGTCAGCAGATTCTGTCTGGCCCTAGCTATATTCCATATATAACCTCAAACATTTAGAACTTTAGTATTTGGTGCAAAATTACATCTAGCTTAATGTCATTAACTTTATCAGAACAATCCAAAATTTCTTGGTGTGTTTACATTCCAAGTTACAAAACCTTCTGAGGTTTTACATATTTAAATTTCAAAGTAATAGTAAAAAATCTTTCTCTAAATTATGTATTTATTGGTCAAAACAAACCAAACAGCGCCAGAAGTTTAGCCTGACCTTTAAGTATAACTTATTGCCATTTATATCTGTAAACAGTAAACACTAACTTATGAGATAAACAACGTTACTTTTACTGTCTTTTGAGAAAATAACGTTTGCATCAAAACATTATTCTAAAACAACAACTATAAAAATCAAGTCTTAATGTAACCAATATATGGATTTGAATTTTCTGACATCCTAGCAGTAAGAGTTTAAAAAATACAATATTTCTAAAACACTAGCATCAATTGTTGTTGCAGTCATAACAAAACTCCCTCGCTGCATTTAAACAGAATTTCACAACAGGTACCTTGCTGTTCAACCACAATATTAAAATATATTCAAATACAAACAAGCAAGCATGATAACTGTCCCATTGTTAGCAAAACATAAATTAACAATATCCATTGTATCAAATAACAGCATTTCCAGCAAACGTACGAAAGTGTTACTACAATGAAACTGTTACGTTATAAATGTCAACCCCCAGACAGACAGATGTAAACAGAAAAACAACATCACAACTACCAACAGTATCATATGTTATCCCAACACATTATGCACAGACTGAGGGTTAGATAACAGATAACACGCTGCACGGATGGATTAAAAAGACTCAAGCATAACTACCATGTCGCAGTGTAAGAAAGAGTTCCTCTCGAGTTCGGGTAAAGTTCTCTCGGCGCTGGGCATAGTTCAGTTGACTCCGGTCCGGTCAGACTGGACTCTCGTCTCGTGTGCGGTCCGGCGGATCGGTTCTGCTACATTGTGTGGCGGATTGCGGGGCGCCGCCGCGCGCTTTCGGTCTGCGGATTCCTCTTTGTGATCTACGGTTCAACACACACGCATTCAGTCAGTCAGTCACTCGACCCGCATGCATATTTATCTGGAGAGAGAGGGGGAGAGAGAGGGGGAGGAGCTAGAGTGGAGTTCGACATGACATCACATGGGTTCAGGGGAGGCGCTACAAATGAAATTTGTTTATACCCAACAAATACCTGTTGACCAACAAAACTAGAGAAATATCATTTAAGATAATTCATTATCAAGTTTTACCCTTCAAACGATCATATTGTTAAAACATTTTTTAAAAAGGATATTGATTTAATGTGCACTTTTTGTTATGTGAATATAGAAACAGTTACCTATCTGTTTTGGCACTGCCAAAGTTTCTGGTCTGACTTTTTTTTTTTATTGCAGAAAAATTGAGAAAGATTTCAAGTTATTCTGGAAGTTATTCTTTTTGGCCTTTATGACCTCAGCAGAACTAAGACTATGCCTAATAAAACTTTCATTATTAATCTCACGATTCTTTTGGCAAATATTACATTCAAAACATCTTTTACTTCTTTTAACAATAAGGTCAAGCAATGTCAACTCGATTAAGCATTCTCTTAATCAAAAGGCAACAAAAACTGTGAATGTTTGTAAACACTTTGATATATTTTGTAAATCCCTACTTCCCCTGGCAAAATGTGATGACTTGTGTCTTTGTTTATGTTTGTTTATGTTCAAACACCAGCATTGTTGGAATTTGAACAATTCGTTATGTTTATGATGGATATTTATATTCTTGTAAAATGTGTAATTCATGAATTAAAAAAGTTAAATCTGTCTGGAACTTAGTAAATAGTCTCACCAATAAAGTTAAAGAAGTGACATATAAACTAATAAATTAAATTCATCCAGTGAAAAAAGTTGCTAAAAAAATTTTTAGAGACATGAATCTACATGCACTTTTGTGAAATTGAAGAGGAATTAATAAAACACCTGTTTTTTGAATGCACACCCAAATGTTTTAGTGTGATGTTGAATATCTTATAATTAAACTTACAAAATTAAAAATTCAGTTTTTTTGTAAAGATATTTTTTGATATACAATAATAATAACAAAACTTTGGAGCAAATTTAATTTTAATATTTAATTATAATTATATAATTATTATAACTATAACTATAATATTATAATTATAATTAATTATAAATATTTATTAATTTAATGATAATATATGGGAAGTACCATGAACATAAAGAAAAATGGTCCAATGATCTTAAGCATTATATTGAAACCTTAAAACACACAAAAAATATATTTTAAAAAATCAATAAGGATGTATGCAAATTTTGAAATCCTTTTCTTATAAGTTTTTTTGTAATTTATATATTCCCTATAATTTTATTCATTTTATTTTTTTTATTCTCTTCTGATTTGTTCCTTTCATGTGAAAAAAAATATAAGCATTGTATTCCTCATTTTTTTGTATGCTATTGTTCTTGTTATGCAATAAAAACAAACCAAAAACTAAAAAAGAGGAAATTTGTCTAAATGTGAATTACTTTCAGTTAAGGAATCTAGTCTTTTTTCAATTAATAATATCCCAGTTAAATATAAAGTAATTTAATTGGGCATTTTTATTTGTAAAAATTAAAAAGATAGATGCTCTATTATTTTTAATTCTATTATTGAGAAAAACCCGTAGAAAATTAAACTTATTACTTTGAAACAAGTTTTTAACTCTTATACAAAAAGGCTTTTAAAACAACAGAATTTTATAAATGATAAATCTTAAATCTTTTTCTTTATTGTGATGTATATACCCCTTCTGTTCGTATGTTTGTTTTTTCATTATTTTCAAAATGTGTATTTTTTTGTTTTCTTTATAATGTACTGTGATTGTATATTCTCACTTTTAGCATAATAAAAACAAAATAATAGTAATAATAATTTTTAAAAAATGAAAGGTGAAAAAGGTTTTCCTTTCGTTTATCAAAATACAAACATGTAAAGATTCAAACTTAATATTTCATATATGTGTGAATTGTTTGGTCAAGGAAAAGTAACAAACTGGCATTTTTTTTTTTCATTGTATTTACTCAAGAATATTTTGGGAAGATTTGGAATTGTTTTTTTCCTAGTGATGGGTTGCAGCTGGAAGGCCATCCACTGCGTAAAACATGCGCTGAATAAGTTGGCGGTTCATTCTGCTGTAGCTACCCCTTATTCATAAAGAGGCTAAGCCGAAAAGAAAAAGAAAGAATGAATGGAATTGTTTATTAACAAAAATGGAGTATACACTAAAAATGTGCTAATTTGATGTACTGTTTTATTCTGATAACGAGAACTTCAACTGCAAAGGACAACATATTTTTATTTTGTTCATGTTTTTAGGAAAATACCATATACATAAGAAAAAGTGGACTCAATGTAAACAAAACGTATCCCATTTTGTGGATGACTTCAAATTATATGTAAATCTTTTAGAACAATCACAAAACAGAAAACCACTAAAATATGGAATACTCTAAAAATATTTAATTTCATGCAAATATATGTATATATTTTTATTTTTCTCGTTCAGAAAACTATCTGAAATTTAATACCTCTTGTTCTTGTGGCATTGAATTAATAAAAAAAATGAAAAAATTTCATTTCAATGGAATTTGACGCATCAAATAGTTTTGTATTATGGATTTCACACATGATTGCAAATGAGACTGAATATTATGAAAAGTAGAACTGAATATTTATTAATTTATATTTGTATAAATGTCAATAAAAGAGAAAAAAAACTGATTAAGAACAGCAATGGACAAAATAGGGATATTAATTAATTAGGGCAAGAATAACTTGTGAATTGCATAATTTTAGCTTTTTGTGCTGAGTTGTTTTTGTAATCTAAAACAGTCAAAAACATATGCCATATACCGTATAGCCCACAATGTAATCACAAATTAAAATATTAAAAATACCTAAAATAAACATGTTTAAGTGCTTAAATGACTTAAACGCAAATAAATTGAATACAATTAATAGTTAAAGTTAATTAGATATTAAAAAACAAGACTTGAACATGATTTCACACACTGATACAAATATTACATTAAACATGACTCGGACATATCTGGCCTTCTTTGTTAAATCTAATATATTAAGGAGGTTTGGAACAAGCTAGCAAATAACAAAAGAATGACATTACAAAAGGAAGCAAAAATAATTCTGTATACATTTTACACTTATTTCAGGCTTGTTCATTTGTAGGGTTCTGTGCAGTGTTGATTTTTGTTAACTGAAATAAATCTAAATAAAACATGATCAAATTAATGAACCCTTCAGTACAAACCTATTACTACCAATAACATCAAATTATTTAATCATCATTTTAATTGTATATGTTTATTAGAGCCTAAAATATAAATTTTTCCAAAAGTTCCAACAGATATACAAGCAGATTTACATTGTACTTTCAAGCACAAAAAATAAATAAATGTCTATCCATACTCAAGGATTAAAAAATGATTAATAAGCAGGAGAAGTTTAAAAGCAGCAGCATCTTATACTCAAGTAATTATTTATCTGACCTGGAGATTAACTGCAATTCACAACGTCATCCGATATTCTCTAACCATAAATAACGGTAATTTCTCACAGCATTAATGTTTTAAAGGGGAAACCTTTTGAAATGAGTGTTGAATATTTAAACATCTACTGGTCTGAATGAGTTACGTCAAGCTCATATTCAGAGGGTTCCAAGCTTTACAAACCACTGTCTATCTTTGGCTCTCATAGAAACACGCAAAGTGTACAGTATGTGTTGTCAAGAGTCACTACTACAAGGCCAGAGTGTTTACTTATATTTCACCTATTGTTACCTATAGAGTATGAAAAAATAATAAAAAAAAAATGTACAAAAGCATGCACATCACTTTGAATAGGTGCTCAGCCAAGCAGCAACCAAACAGCAAAATGTATATCGATGAACTAATCACTGATAAACATAGTCAGATGAAGAGCCGGTGTGCTTGAAACAATAAACGCCTTATATCAGCCTTTTTTATTGAATAAACTGGCATTTTTGGAGTTTTGGTGTTGCCGCCTATTTGAATATATATACCCTATATATGTTTAATTTACATCATTGGGTGGAAACAGCCACTGAAAAGTTCTTTGTGAAACCCAAAATGTTTTTTTTAGGCATTACTGTAAAAACTATCTTTATTTTTAAAAGAATAAAAGCTATTTTGGACTATTGAAGAAATTTGAAGGTGGAATTTGAAACATCTGTATCTTGTATTACTATTATTATATTTATTTTATGTCCAAAGATTTGATTGGGCCTTTGAAAATATCCAGTGCGTACCTGCACAATTGTAATATTTACCTACATTTCTTATGCTTGACTAAGCACTCTGCACAAAGCTGAAATAATAAACCTCAGCTACGGCATGGGAAAGTCCATGGGGAGCAGTTACAATTATTCCCATCTGCCCTGCTGTGCAGCTAAATAATCTCATTTTCATAAGCACAAATCCCAGACAGTGAATTGTCACTCATCTAATCGTATTAAAGCGCAGCGGTCTGTTGGGTGAGGGTCATGCATGGGTCAGCAGGGTCACAAACACTGGGGTCTTGGGTCTGAAATTGATTTTAAAATTGCTGCAGGCCAGGGCATGACTGAAATAACAAATTGCTTCTGACATATTTGTGGTAAGACTAGTGCGGCTATAGCTGAATAAATATGTGGTTTTAAAAAGAATTTGATGCATGCACATTCTGAGATGTACAGCACAACAAATGATCTATTAAACATCCAAGGAGAGCTACCAAAACAAAAACATAATAATACAAAGGAGAAAGACAATACTGTAGATTTGTGTTCTCTTTCTGTGTAGAAGGTCATTATAAAAATAAAACACCAATTAAAACAGTGGCCTTGCAAGGACTGCACATTCTTCATAATAAGTCTTGAAAACAGATTTTAAAGTCTCAGAAATTGATTTTTAAAGGGGATGTTTCTATGAAATATTCATAGAGTGGGTCTCTCGTTGTGTGTTGACTTTGTGTGTTATATTTTTG